GAGGGGGTTGTTGTGCGGCCTTATGGGGTGCTCGGGTGGGGCGATGCGGGGCCTCTTTCACGGGGCTCCGCGAACCTGTTAGCTCTCGGCAGGAATGGGGGAGAGGGGGGCGTAGCCTCATCCCAGGCGATGGGATGGGATAGGGAAGTCCTTTGATGGCGAGATCACTGTCTCGCCGGTCCGGTGTGCCACCACTGCTTACTTCCCCGACTGCAAGTGAACGCCACAGGTCCCGCATTCCTGCACAGTCGTCTTGGGGACCTCAATGCGCCCCGTATCATACGATGCGCCTCCTCACTCGAGAGGCGGGGCTGACATCCGAGACGGCGACGGCGAAGCTTGTCTGCACCCTCCAGCGTGTCGTCAGGACCCCGCAGAGATAACGCGGCAGGGCCAGCCGCTGAGCCAGCAGCCCCGCACGTACGTACCCCCGCGGGCGCTTCCGGCGTGCTGAGCCCGGCGGGGGAGGCACATCCGGTCAGGAGAGTCGCGGCCGCACCCCAGCCGGGGGGGGGGTCATGAGCCTCGCATGCCCCGCAAGACGGGCCGCGCGGCCGCGCTTTACTCGGACAGGCCGGGCCGGACGGGGGGCAGGGCCGCAGGCCGCAGGGCCGCAGCCCGGCCGCGTAAAGTGGATCAAGTGGGAAACTGAGGCCCAATCGTCGTGGCTCTGCGCAAAACGTTGCCGACCGCCAGAGTTCTCCGCACTCACACACACACACACACTCACACACACGCGAGCGCAAGCGCGCGCGCACATCATGCACACCACTACCCTACTTTGAGAAAATCTAAACTCGCCTATCGCTCAGAGGGGAAACCCGCTCGTTTCGGAAGTATTTGCGTTTTTTTTTTGAGTTGGCCGAAAATACCCGTCCACCCGCGTTTACCAAAGAAGTTAAAACAGTACCCGCGGGAGGGTGGCCCCAACTGCTCGGCGACATGGTAAGAGACGAGAGGCGACAGGCCAACCCTGCCGCACACCTGCGTTTCCAGCCACCGCTGCTCTACTATTCGAATGGCGTTCGGCCTCAGCCCACGACAAGGGGGGTGAAGGTGGTATTCAAAAGTAGCTTCGGGCCACAAATAATAATCATTATAGTTTACCTCCGATTGAAGAGCGACTAACTCACAAGTTATTCTACTACACCTCTTTTCTAGGCATTTCGTGATTTATTCCGGTGGCGCAGACAATAATAAAGTGCAACCGCGGCGTGATGGTATGCGACGCGCGTTACAACAAGCTTCCCTTTACCGCGCATTTCAAATGGCTTGTAACGCTGGAACAGCGTCTGAAAACAAACCGGTTCAAACTCACTCCATCCAGATAAAGCCGCATCCTTGGCTGCCAAGTACCCCCTCCCCTCCCCATCACGCCGTTCAACGAGTACCATGACACTTGCTCACGCTCGACAGGCGTGCATTGATCAAAATGTCCCGGGGGCCCCTTCGCGACTCGCGGCCGCCACCGCCCTGTTTACGAAGTCTCGGGAAAAAATGATACAAGTCAAATGAAAATAGAAACCCCCTTGATTTTCGGCGTCGCTCGTCATTTTTTTTCGTCTTGGCGCGCCGTCGTCACACACTCGCGAGACGATATGCGCGACGGTCCGGTGGCGTGCCATTCCGGGACGGGCGGGGGCCACGAGATATACAACAGGCAAGATTATTGTCGGTGTCGCGGGTGGGGTAGTCGCGGGGGCACCGGCGGCAGCTGGGTAGTTGCGAGACGTTCGACAACAAATTG